TGTTAGGGGTGAGGGGTAGCAGTATAAGGGGGTGAGTGGTAGTATGAGGTGGTGTGACAGTATGAGGTGGGGTGAGGGTGACAGGTTTGAGGTGGGGTGAGAGGCAGTATGAGGTGGGGTGAGAGGCAGAAGAGGGCAGTGAGGTGAGGTGAGAGGCAGTAGGAGGTGGGGTGAGAGGCAGTAGTGGAGGTGGGGTGAGAGGCAGTAAGGAGGTAGGCTGGGGAGGCAGTATGAGGTGGGGTGAGAGGCAGTATGAGGTAGGCTGAGGGAGAGGTGAGGTGGGGGTGAGAGGCAGTATGGGGTGGGCTGAGGGAGGCAGTATGAGGTGGGTGAGAGGCAGTATGAGGTGGGGTGAGGCTGAGGGAGGCAGTAGGAGGTGGGGTGAGAGGCAGAGGTAGGCTGAGTATGAGGGCAGTATGAGGAGAAGCTGAGGAGGCAGTATGAGGCAGGCAGTGAGGGCAGTGCTGAGGTATGAGAGAGAGGCAGTATGAGGTAAGGTGAGAGGCAGTATGGAGGTAGGCTGAGGGAGGCAGTATGGAGGGCAGGGAGGCAGTATGAGGTGGGGTGAGAGAGGCAGTATGAGGTGGGGTGAGAGGCAGTATGAGGTAGGCTGAGGGAGGCAGTATGAGGTGGGGTGAAGTTATTAATAATTCGTACCGATAAAAAATTAATAATTAACACTAATCTAATAAACAGACAAATAATTAGCAAATAGAAAACAAAAACGTAAACAAAATGCAATGAAGCAGACTAGTAAACAAACACACTAATAACATAAACAAACAAACAATGTCATAATTCCTGTGATTTTTAGACAGGAAAAAAATGTCACGTTTACAATACTAATAAATTCACCATATAAAAAGAATCTACTCTTGTTATATATTCTCTGGCAAATAATAATGAGGTTTACAACATTATATTTTTGTTTTATTAAATATTCAATACTAAATAACAAATAGGCTCATTGTGTTACGATAAACAAGAGGAAGGGAAACGGTACAGTGACTGCGGACTCAACGGTTTCACTATATTTCCGTTACAATTGTTCTTCTGGCCGCCATAATATAAATACGTATCATATATAATAGTTATATATTGAAAGGTTATGGTTACTGGCTTGTAATTTCCAGGAAGAAAACAATTAAAAGAGGAAGCAAAAATTCTTGAGGATGATATGGGATGGGACGGTGGTGGGTTATTCACGAAGTTATTTTTTTTTGTCAGCCAAACTCAACCAAACTCCACCAACTAGGTAAAAGAAAGAGCTATTGCATTTTTTATTAGTACTACTTCACTTACTGATTCTAACCTAATCTCTTTTATCCCACGAGTGAAAAAAAAAAATCTCCACAGTTAAAATATTTCAGTCTTAAAAGCAAAACTGAGAATTTCTTTACACTTTTTATCAGTTCACGGCGACATTAAGAACTTTACCTAAGTTCATAAAGGTCAGTGTGTAAGACATTAATGGATGTAGATGGTATCCCCTAATTTATTTACTCTTTTTTTTAACTTTTAGTGACGAGACATCCTTGAAGTGTATGTTTTCTGTGCTCGTGTAATGTTTAGCTAAGAATTGAAATCTCTTTGGTGTGGCGGCAGATTGGTTTACAGCGCTCGCTTTTTGATCTAAGGTCGTTGGTTCGAGATTGGGATACCCTCTTATCGGTTAAGAATACTGTCGGCCACGCTGCCTCCTAGTGCCAAGCGTCCAGGTGCTTCATACAACAAGGGTCTACACTCTGTTTTGGTCAGTGTGTTAAATATGACCAATGACATTCTCCCTCAATGTGACGTCATAAGCTGCTTCCTGTATAAGCCCTGTGATTGGTTGAAAATACAGTCACGCTAGAGGTGTTTTGAAAAGTTTAATGCAATATTGAGACGTATGTGTGTGTGTGTGTGTGTGTGTGTGTGTGTGTGTGTGTGTGTGTGTGTCGAGTGCTAGATATAAGAGTGTTCGTATCTGGTATAGACAACTAGATAATATATATATATATATATAAGCTTATTATAGGTTATATTACCTTTTATATATTTGTGATTTAATGAGGTTGTGGTTAATTGGTCCTTCAATGAACCAGCCTCCTTGAACACTACACTGGGTGATAATATAGAGACTCGCTCCTTGAATGTGTAAGTGGGCCATGAGATGTTATTGGGTGTTTCTTTTATTATTCTCTCTAATTATCTCCCTTTCATCTGTCTTATGATATCTCTCCTAAAGTTTGTCTTATTATTCTCTCTCTCATTATTTTGTCTCGTCTATATGTCTCCTCAATCTCTCTTCTTATCTCACCCTTTGTCTCATTCTTAATCCGCCGGTCTGTCTGTCTGTCTGTCTGTCTTTCCTCAATATCTCTCTTCCCTAATTTTCTCTTCTCTTCTCGTCTCTTCTCGCCTCTCCTCTTCTCTTCTCTCCTCTTCTAAGAGAAGTGTGCCATGGTGAGGGAGACATCACAGTCCCTCTTAAGACTTATGTCAAGTTTTTATTTTA